GACAGAGTGAATCTCTTTATTTGAAAATCTGATAATAGTTATTAATCAGTGTGTAACATTGCCTGAACTGCTTCGTGTCTAAGCATCTATAAGCGTAGTGATACATATATAACATACATGTCACAAAATCTTTTTTTTTTAAAGCTATCATGTGACTAATTGTCTCATGCTGGTTTGATATATACCTTTTGTCACAAGTAGCTGGAGCACAAGAGAAAGGCAGATATTTGAGTCTTAAGCAAAAAGGTTATCATCATAAACAGTCCTAGCTTTACATTTTAGGAGACCGGTATACCCAGAAGTCATGAATACACCATGAGATTAGTAATATGAATATCACAACTATACGGAAACCTTTGTCTCTTAATTTAGTTTTATACTAAAAGCATATTTTAATAAGAAAACTTTACTGTTTTATTCACAGAAAACAATCTTTTGATGATAACCAGTGTACACCTATTATAATAATGTTTATTGGGCTGTGTCTCCTATAATGCTATGGAAACTATTGGAGTCCCATTAGCGAACAAAGGCTGGAATCTGATATATCTCTGTGGTTTTCACTGAATTGATACTATTTGAGTTTGTTGAGAATGGACAGGCGGGTTCCTTTATAAAACTCAATATTGGACATTTTTCAACCATTATGTCTTAAATATTTTACCTAATACTTGCCCCAGTCTAGTAGCTTAGTTTAGTTATTATAAATAACTATAAATAGGCAGTTAGAGAAGTTTAAGATAGGATAGGATGGAAGAGTCTTATCCTAAAATAGCCCACCCAGGTCAAGCAGCTAAGCCAAGCTTAGAGATACAAAGAAAAAACACAAGAACAAAGGATAAAAGGTTGTCATAAGAATAGAGAAATAGGACTCTTCCTTCCAGGAAGAAGAAGTCTCTTATCCAAAATATGCTGTTAGATGTCAACAACCCCTTCTAGAACAGAGATGCAAGATAATCAGTTTTCCTTTTGAATTTTTAAAAATTCCACCTCCTTCCTTTTGCATATAAGATCAGGATGGAGACCCTTGACTAACTTTTTTTTTTTTTTTCAGTACTGGGGATTGAATTGAGGACCTTTTGCTTGTGAGGTAGGAGCAGCACATCACTGAGCTAAATCCCTGGCCCTTTTGGATTTTTTTTTTTTTTGTACCATGAATCAAAGTCAGGACCTTGCCCTAAGGGCTTTTAAAAAAATTTCAAATAAACCCTCTTAAACACTTCCTTTTGTCCTGAAGTTTATTCTTCATTCTTAGGAGACAAAGAACTCAGGTCTGTACCAAATTTACTGTTTTATGAGATGTTTCACCAAGACTCCCATCATACATGTGTTAAACAGTTTGTTATCTTACAGAGCACTAAGACTGTATTCATATTTTTCAGCATTTTTTCCCCTCTCTGTACTTCAGTTTGAATAGTTTTATTACGAGGTCTTCAGGATTTTGATCTTTTCTTTCCTACTGTTTAATTGTTTCTATTGATCTTTTAATTGTGCTCATGTGTTGCTTTAAATCTTGAGTGTATTTGTCATAGTTTTTGCTAGCATTATTATCTCCATCACTCTGGTTTTCCTTCTGTTAACAAATGAGTCATAAATTCTTGTCTCTTTGTGTATTTAGTAATTTGTGATTGGATGCTGAGAGCTAATATTTTTATATTATTATGCACATTATTATTTCTGTTAAAGACAGTTTTAGAAGTCAAATTTTATTATTGCAAGGGGCAATTGAATTTTCTTCCTGTGATTTGTTATGGCAGGTTGAGATTAGCCTTTATTTTAGCACCTTGCAGGAGTATCTACTGAATGCTCTGATTATTCAATGTAAGTCCTTTTTCTATTGGACTTATTGACTCAATCGTATGTGAGCTCTAGAAATTGTTCAGATTATAAATTCCCTCAGTAGCTGTTTTTTTCCTAACATGTGGACCCAAACTCTAAAAGCATTATTTAGTATTCATCCAAAAACCCTGATAGTCCCTTTATCAGTGCCTGGAGATTTTCACCTTTGTAGCTTCCTCCTCCCTATTACACTGTTCTGCCATTTCCAACTAATTTTGCCTCTCTGAAATCTCATCTTAATCTCTTCAGCTCAATGGGTCTTTCTCTGCTTGGAGTGATTGAGGATCATAACCAGTTTTAAGCAAGTATCTACACACCCATACTAACACTTCTGAACTCATTCTGAACAATACTTTGACCATTTCTAGTGTAACACAGCCTGGGATAACACACCCTTCTGTGTCTTGACTCAAGTCATCTGATGCTAGTGAAAAAATGTGTGTCTCTAAACTGACTCTGCTTCTCACCAAATGTGTCCCTGGAAGTTGCTTACCTCTAAATTTCGCTGTCTTTATGGAAAATAATTAAACCTTCCAAAACTGTGTGGGGAGATTAGATGCAAAAACATAAAAGCATAGGCCAGGGATTTAGCTCAGTGGCACTGTGCCTGCCTTACAAGTGCAAGGTCCTGAGTTCAATCCCTGGTACAAATAAAACACAACAAAAAACAAAAACCAAATAAACAAAAAAGTACAAAAAACTAAATCACTAGTGTAGAACATTGTAGGCATACATGTTTTTTATTCCACAAATTACATCATGCATGATAGCAGAGGGCTGACTATAATTTTACTTCCTGAGATTGGGTGACTACACTTTCTCATTTATGGGAAGATGGCTGTTCTGGAAGTTGCCAGGCAGTGAAAACCTCCTGATCATTTTTTCTTGCCCAAAGAAATTTAGAATTCTCAGGCAAACATGTCCTTCTTCCCATGGATATTGTGGCAGTGGATATAGACAGGAAAGGCTCTCTGAAGGTTAAGTAAACGAGACCCCATTTGTCTAACATGTTGGTTATCTGACCGCACAGGTGTTGCAGGCCCTTTTTCCCTTCTCACCTACACTTGGATATCACAAGGTCACCAGAATCAAACCATTAAAAAGTGAATATGTCCTTTGCAAATATAACTACCAATTAGAAACTTTCAAGTCTAGCATTTCTAAGTATTAAGGTTTCTGGGTTAAAGTTGAGTCAGTGTTGTGCCGTGCTTTGATGAATCCTGGAGATGTGGAATTATTTTTCACTTGGAGCCCACCTGGACTTTCAAAGCCATGAGACACCAGAGGTGAGCCTGCTATGTTGTATTGTCCTTCAGAAGGCCAATCCTCAAACCTACAATTCTGGAAGAGGAGGAGCCAGCAACAGAGGCTGGAGTGAAGTGGGGTTTGGGAGGCAGCTCCAGTCCTTGCTGGTCTTAGAGGTTCTCCTGTGTATCTAGAACATTCAAGTATTGCAACTTCATAATAATTGCCCCTAGGATACCAGGCAACATGGGGTGAATTTTCATTAGAACTTGAGGTTTTATATGGCCCCAGGTTACCTTTTAAACAAAGGTCTCCATCAGGGATTGAATACCCATTAAATTAAAATTCCAGTATAATGAATGGAGAATTGAGAAGATAATTAGGGAAGTGACAGGATATAAGTTTAAAAAAATAAGTGTTGGGGAGAAAAAAATCTGCCAGTGTTACTGTTATGCACAAATCTCACAGTGAAATTACAGCCTAGGATTAGGTGTTTGGTATCTGAAAAGCTCATAGACATGTGAACAAAAGTACACAGTATTCCTAACTATTTGTTAAGGTAATGATTCCTGATATAACTTTACATCTCAGCATACATAATAGGAATTTCTTACTCGGGTAAAATAATGAGAATTTAATACTCATGTAAAATCCAAAATGAATGTTCATGAATGGTTTTCTGATAAGTCGGATACCCAGGATTTGTCTCAGGGATCTGCCAGCTTCAACACATGCCTCTAAGATTGCTGTCCTTGTTCACATCAAGACACAGAAACATAGAAGCATGGAGGATCACATGTGGCTTTTTATGACAAAGACTGGTTTTGGTAAACATCCAGGCTGTCACATCTCATTGCCAGAATTGGACATGAAGCCCCATCTTCTACAAGGGAGGTAAGAGAATGCAGTGTGAACTTACTCTCTGTAAGAAGATGTCAGCAATCTCTGCCACAGACTATACAACCAGACCACACCCACACACACAAACAGCATGTAAGTGATGGGAATAAAATAATATGATTGGGCCCTGGATTTAGCTCAGTGGTTCAGTGGCCTGCCTTGCAAGTGCAAGGACCCGAGTTCAAACCCCGGTATCAAAAAAAAATATATATATATATATATAGATAGATAGATACATACATACATACATACATACATATGGTTGATACAGTCACAAAGTTTAGTCGAACTGGGATTATAGGAAGTCATTTATACAAAGCTGACATGAAAGCCTGTTGATTATGTCTTATTCTCTTCCTAACTTTTGTAGATTTGGAGAATGGAATCTTTCTGAGACATTTTTCAATTTGAACCGATTTCAGTTTACAAAATAATTCTGCACAGACTCTAGATTCTATTTCAGAATCTGGTGAATTTGGTCCTAAATTTATAACCTATTTGCAAATAAAAGTCACCCTTATGTGACTTTTATTATCATAATTATCTTATGTGGATTAAATTCTTAACAAATATTCTGACCTGGTAATTTTCCTGAAGTATAAACTACCTCATGATATACACAGGATGAACACTGGGTTCCAGAGGTATCGTTGTCAGATCAATATAACATTACCATGAGTAAATACTATAGAGTGGCTCAATTTCTTTTTCTTATAGGCTTGTGGGGGTTTTGTTTGTTTGGGGAGGATTGCTTAATTGAGTAAGAGAGGCTTATGAGTCATTTATTGTAAAATTTGTAGGCAGTTGTTAATGCAACAATCATGCAAAATAAATGCTTTTTCATATTCATTCCCTCTTTCTTCAAGCATTCAACAAGGACTTGTTGAGGGTCTGCTAAACATCAATCACTGGGCTAGATGCTCAGGTGTGATGAGGAAACCAGAAGACTTCCAGCTCTCTCTCAGTGTGTAACCCATAGGAATGTTGAGGGGCTCAAAGGAGGGGATCTTATTCATGAAACCAGGAGGACCAGTGTAAGGAGTGCTGGAGAAGATTTCCTGAGAAGGAAACAAAGCTGAGACAGGAAGGATTTTGGTAAGAAGTTGCCAGGGTTCTCAGGGAAGAAATTTCTTCCTTCTGCCTTCCATCCTGATTAGGTCTGTTATAAAAGTTGCTGAATTATCTTAAGCTTTCTTTGTTAAAAACTTTGTAGGGGCCAGGGATTTAGCTCAGTGGTTCTGCTGCCTGCCTCGCAAGCTCAGGGACCCGAGTTCAATCCCCAGTACAAAAAAAAAAAAAAAGGGGATTTTTCACTATCATTTTGTAAGTGGACTAATTTATTGTTTACTATTTTGACCTGTATATATAGCAGTATCATATGTCTCAATACAAATTTGTTACAATGCCAGGCTAAATAATTCTAGTCCCTAAAATTCTTCTATCCTATTGTATTCATTTAAAAGCAAAATTTAAGCAATCTATCACAAAATAGAAAACATCCCAGAGATGTTTCATATCAAACCTATCTCTTCCAGAACATTTTTCCGCAGGCCATTTTTTCCATGTTCTCCATGTTGAATTCTGTCTTTCTTATTCATAATTTCATCTCATGGTAGAGTCACTGACTCTACTTCCGTGATTTCAACGGCACCCTGGATTCTCTTTTTCTCGTTGTTTATTCTTTCCAACATGTTATTGTTGAAAAGCGAGTTCTGTGGACTATTAACATAAAATATCTGCTTTTCTAGAAGAAACATACTCTCTTGAAGGATTGTTTCTATTTCATAGTGTTCGAAGGGAAAGGCAAAGCAATAGGAAAGCTACCAAAGCTGGTGAACTTTCAGTGTTGGTTTTCAGATAGCTACTATCAAATCTTGCAACAGCCTGTTTTCACATATGCCCAGGGGCCTGCACAGAGAACTGCGAATTAAGAGGCTGACTGGAACTTTCACTACAATGAAGTGACAGTGGCTCTTAGCATTACATAAATAGATTGGATGAGAATATTCTTTATGCACCACTTTCTCATCTTCCCACAAGCACTCTGGGAAACTTCACCTACTCTATCAATCTGGGCTTATCTGTGATTAAAATTAGAACTATGTCCTTGGAACTTTTTTTTATTTATTTCATTCTACTTTTCCATGGCACTCTTTGAAAAGATAAGGTTCACCTATAAAAGAAGTTTTCAGTGTTGTCTGGTTGTCTGTGAAAGCTGACAGATCTGCCACGGTGAGTCAGGAACAAGTTTTCCAGGTTAATCTGTTAGGACTCATCTATTTCTCTGCAGAGAACTAAATGAATTTAGATTATGCCAATCGTCCAACACTGTTGTTGGCCAAACTGTTATATTTTTACCTTTCTGTAGATGTTGCTGTTGTGGACACTCATGCTGTTGGTGGGAGCAGTAGCAGGTAAGAAAATATATTCCTCTGGAATGAGTGGGACTAATTTATCAGTCCTTTCCAAGAGGCTATGACCCCAGATTCAAGCCATAAGGAGACTGAGGAGTAAAGTAAGGGACATACAGGATTAAGAGCATAGGCCTTGGAGTGGGGTTTCCACATAAAGTCTACAATTGCCAATTGAATTTCAGGCAAACAATACATAAGTAAAACAGGCATTTTTTATACTGAAAATTTTACTTTTTCCAAAGTTCAAATTTATTTTGCATGTTTGTTTTCTGAGCCTAGTTTCCTTACCTTGGAGACAAGGCAGGAGTTTGAAACTTGCCATAATCACCTACAATTCTATTACCCTGGGTAAAATCCTTAATGCCTCTGCACTTGAGGATCTGTGTCTGTGAAGTGGGAATAATGACATCACCCTGTTGTGATGTGGCCATGAGGCTTGGATGAGTAATCATCAGATCCAGGCTCCAGAACATAGTAAGATGTTGAGGAATGCAGCCCCCATGACAGCTACTATCCTTATGCCTACAGCGCTTAACCATATTATTTTGAATTATCCCTTTATGTGGTAACATGCCAGCCTACAATTGTATCTAATCATAATTGTGTGTGTGTGTGTGTGTGTTTGTGCGCAGGTGCGCGTGTATGCTTGTTTGTGAATACCTTCTTCATCACAGCAATCCGGGATGGCCTTTAAACATAAGTGAGATACCCCTATTTTAGCCAGGGAGGAAACAGGAAATTTTGGTCCTTGCTTGCAACCTAGCCTTGCTATCGAAGTTCAAGGCTAAGAGGTGGTTGCACAGAGTTGAGCACCTACACGCAGACACACACACACACACACACACACACACACCACATCCCCCAGACCTTGCACACATGGCTGCTCCATTCCTTGGCACCAGTAGACCAAATATAACATCTAGTTTAAGAAGCTGAAAAAGAGTCCCTGTCCAGGACTGAGCAGGAGCTGGTCCCCTGGAGTGGGAGTGAGGAGTAGCAGCCTGTGTGTACCAGGAGTGTTATCTTTTTGAAGCTGTTTTGTGAGTGTCAGTAGGAGCAGTTGGGGAACATAGAAGGACATCTGCCACAAAATATAATTTAATTCCTATTTTATGTGAGCCCTTATAACAGGTTTCTACTTCTGTTAAAGTACTGTCCTTGAAACACTCTTGGATGATTACAGGAAGTGAAGTCTGCTATGATAGATTTGGCTGCTTCACCGATGATAACCCGTGGGCAGGAATTGTGCAAAGACCCCTGAAAATCTTGCCCTGGAGCCCCTCATCTATCAACACCGGCTTCCTCCTATACACTGATGAGAATCCAACCAACTACCAAGTAAGAATATTCATTGTTTTCAGCAGTTCTGACTGCGTTCTGTAACTAGTATACCAAATAGTCGCATCTTGAAGAACAAGTCAGACAGTGGTTTGTATATACAGTGAGTTTAGGTATTACTCTATGCAACTCATTTATGAAAAGTTCATGAAACTGTGGTGGCATGTGCCTATAATTCCAGCACTTGAGATACTGAGGTCGGAGAATTGTCATGAGTTTGAGGCCAGCTTGAACTATACAGTGAGACTCTGTCTCAAGAAACCAGAAATAAGGTCCATTAACTTCACATTATTATTGTCCTACATAATAGTACCATTTAAAAATATAAATACAGGGACAAATGTGAAAATATATCAACATATAATATATAGAGATTTTATAGAGGGAATTTCACAATATGAAGATATATATTATAATATGATTTATATATAATAATTTAAGTGAAATGCTCCCTTTTGGCCTCAGGAAAAATTTAAATTAAGTTATATATATATATATGAATTAAATTATACACACACACACATATGTGTATATATGGACACTACGTTCCTCACTTAAGGTAGCTTGACTTAATAATTTTTTGTCCTTATGATGTGAAAAAGTGATATGTATCCATTAGAAGCCATCCTCTGAATTTTTTATCTCGATCCTTTCTGGGCTAGTGATATACCAAATGATACTCTCGCATTAGGAAGCAGCAACAAATGGAAATTTCCAGCCAGTCACTGCTCACCAGTGAAAACAACTAATACTCAAAAGTGTGCTTCATTGCTAAGCTGTATTTGATAGTTTAGGTGTTTTCAGTGCACTTTCAAGTTAACTACTACCAGCTCTGATATGTTTACTGGAACACAACTTCATTTTAACTGAAATACATCTATAAAGATATATAAGAATAGATATTGGACCAGGGATTTAGCTCAGTGGTTCGGTGGCCTGCCTTGCAAGTGCAAGGATCCAAGTTCAATCCCCCGTACCAAAAAAAAAGAAAAAAAAATATAGATAGATAGATAGACCAATACTTTCATCATGTGAAGAGAAGATATTAATGACAAATATTATAGCAGATGTATTATTTCAAGTTGAAGAACCACAAATTTTTGTCATGACTAGAAAGTAGAAACTTAGTGTTGACTATGAATAGCTTAGCTGTACTGGGAGAATCTTTATTGACAAAAATCCCAAATCCCAGTAGTCTTCACCTGTCACTTCCATTCATATATAATGGGTCTAGCACATGCAATATGCTCTAAGAATCTTGACCAGGAATGTTTTTCAATTCAAAACAGAAAATTACTGCCGATCCATCAAGTATCAGGAGCTCTAACTTCAGAACAGACAGAAAAACTCGCTTTATTATTCATGGATTCATAGATAAGGGAGAAGAAAATTGGCTGTCCAATATGTGCAAGGTAAGCCCTGGTAATCTTCTAAAGGATGATTCTCTCAGAAATGAAAATTAATAACCGAGGAGGGCAAGTACTGGATACCACTATATTGGGGATCTTCTGACGCCTGCAGAGACTGGGGTTCCTAGAAAAAGTCCAGGAGGTGGTGGTAGATGGAGCTGACTTGGAAAATCAGAGCAACCAGAGCATTTAGTGGCTCAAGGCAATAGATGTTTAATAACTAATACAGGGGTGTTTCAAAACTTTAGCAACACTAGGTGCCATATTGATGTATCCCAGCTACTTTTGGCCCCAGTTTGTTCATTAGTTTTTAATTTCCATATGAAGAGCTAAGAGATCTCACCTCCCAAAGTTGACTCTTTTTCCTTGATTTTCACTTGTTGCTCTGACAGTGTCTAAGAAAACCATGGTGGTTTTTATTTCTGGCTTCTGTTTCTGCAGCAATGGTCTTGTATTCCTTAATTTGTTTTTGACTCTATTCCCATGGATTAGAAAGATTTAAAAGATGGAAAATCAAGTAGAATAAAATTTCCTAGTAACTGAAAGTGCTTGAGGGACACTATTACTGATTCATTTATTCATGTATTTATTCATGTTTTCATAAAATTTCTGTGGTTGATGTGGCAGAAAGCTATAGTCATGTCCCCAGAGGCTTCAAGAAAAAGACACCAATGCCCTCCTAAACCCTTTCATTTCTGGCCTGTGCTTGATTTATTCCAGTAGCAGAACCAAGTCAGCTCCAGGGCATGTAGGCTGGTCCCATAGACAGCTAAGCACAGTCATTTGCTTTGCAAGCTTTGGAATGATCACTAAAACTACAGTTTGTCTTCTAAAATATTTTAAATCTGATAATGATTTAGTGGAAGTTAGTAGATTTCTGTACAACAATGAAGGAAAAGATCTGATTATTAGCTCAAAAGTAATATAGATATTTTAAAGTATGGGTATATGATTTATTTCTAAGATCCCCGAAGCAAATGTGTTTTAAATGCAATTGATTTGCTTTGACATAGAATTGAACTCTCAGTTTACAAATGTCAGAAGTAAAATTTTATGTTGCTGTCTAAAAGTAACAAAACCAAATTTACTTTGTTACTTAGGGCAGTTATCTTCATTCTTTCAATTTTTCTTTCTGTACACAGAGTGTTGGAGCTGATTTCTAAGATTGTTTCATTATTCTCAAATTATTGTGTGGAAAAAAGTGGGATTATACATAAACATATACTCAAACAAACAGTTCCTGCCAGAACTATCCTTCTTGAACCTATAATTGAGCCCCAGTACTCGGGTCTCCAGTAGATACCTGGTAGACTATGCATTAGTGTGAAATAACTTTTGGGATGTCCAAGAAAACATTCACATCCAAAAACTTTGATAGTTTCTTTTGTCATGGGAAAGCTTATCCCTTTACCTTCAGTATACTTACAGATTTCGAGGGCTTGACCATAGTCTTTCATTTATTCAGGAAATGTCTACTGAGCACCTATTGTGTGCCAAATATTGTTCTAGGCACTGAGGACACATCAGTGAAAGAAACAGGTAGTTTCCTTGAGTGCAGTATAGTAAGGGACATGGGAATCTTATGGCATATATGGTGCTCTAATGTGGTGACTCATTATCCCACATCTTATGCATCCCTCTCTAATCAAATGTTTATACATCTGCTGCAGTAGAAATCCCTAGAATCCGGTTCTCACAATGGCCTTGTCTCTGGTTGGAGCCAATGTTAAATTATGAGGGATTTCATAGTCATTACAGACTAGAGGTTTGCTCCTAGCTCTGGAGTGAAAAGTGACATGACACTTTATAGGTCAAAGAGAGAGTATATTCTAGTCCTCATATGTGTTAATTAGTGTTTAATAATGATCCTGAGTTATTTACTTACTTGTTTCTTCCATTAGACCATGCTTCAGGTGGAAAGCGTGAACTGTATTTGTGTGGACTGGAAAGGTGGCTCTCGAACTTTATACACCCAAGCTTCACAGAACATCCGGGTTGTGGGGGCAGAAGTGGCCTATTTTGTTGATGTCCTTAAGGTAACTGCTTCAGGTTACATAAAACCATATGTATTACTGTCTGGATTTTCTTTCCAAATCAAAAGCATAATAATTGATAAAAATATAAACATTTTCTGCTAAGATATGATTTTATCCCTAGGTAAAAAAAGTGCAAAATATCTAGACTTTGTGTTCATGAATCACCTATTCAATTCAATAGATTAATTTTTTGGGGGGGATACCGGGGATCAAACTCGGGACCTTGCGCTTGCAAGGCAGGTGGCAGAACCATTGAGCTAAATCCCCAATGCCTAATTTTTGTTTTTAATGAAGTGAACTTATACAAGCAACTTGGTAAAGGGTATACACCGGATTTTGTCAATTTTTAATATTTCTGATTATTACCAAGTTGACATGACAATATCAACCTCAAGGTTAAACTAATTTTTGTTTTAATTTATATTTCTGAAGAGAAACACATGACTGGGTAACCAATGCGTTAAAAGAGTTAACTTGAATGTGATTAAGTAATTGCTTTCCTTAAGGTTTCATAATCTAAATATTTAGTTGATTATTTTTGAGTAACAATTCTTCATGTCCCTCAAAGTTTCTTTCTGAATCATAATAAAACAAAATAGAGCACAGTGTCTACTATCTTAAAAATAAAAATAATTTCCATTTTTGTTATAACAATGGAAAAAATCCTATGAAAATCAATTGTCTTCTTCAAAAACAAAGTTTGGAGGGGCCCCTTTTGTGCCCATCAGGAATTCTACAATACTTGAATACACTCTGAAGAAATTTTCTTTCCAACAGTCTGAATTTGGATACTCACCTTCCAACGTCCATGTCATTGGCCACAGTCTGGGTTCCCACGCTGCTGGGGAGGCTGGAAGGAGGACCAATGGGACCATTGGACGAATCACAGGTTGGTCACAACAGTGAAAGCTTCAGTGGAGCTACAGCATATGAGAGGCTGGCGCTGCAAGTGATGAAAAGAATTTACCAACAGTCAAGGAGAAGAGAAAAGTTAAACTGCTTATTTTATCCTGCAAAAGAATTCTCTTCTTGAAATTCACCAGCCAGGGGAAGGCAGGGACCTTTATACTTAGTTTCAACGTGAAGAAGAGAGCACAGGAATGTTATCTCAGGACTGCTTACATCAAATACTGATCTACCCATCTCAATTCTAGGGAGAACCAAATGTTGTTTGATGAGTGATGTTTGGTGCAATAGGTTTCAGTCTTCCTTGAGTTGTTAAAAAAAAAAAATCACTCTGAGGAAGGTTAACAAATGTGTGTAGACTAATTAGGGCTAATGGTCAAGGGGGTCAGAAAAAATCTATACCTAAATATATCTACTAAAAGGGGATTTTCATACTATATAGGGGAGGGGAGGAAAGTCAGTTCTCTTAGACATGCCAAATACTTAGGTCAAATAGCAATCTGTGTGTAGTTCTTGCACCCTGCAAGGTCAAGAGTCAGTTTTTTACTACAGACTCATTACTCAACTGCGGTGTGGCCGTAAAGAAACAACAGTAAAATAACCATGATTCCCCCATGAAAATTTCAAAATTAGACTATGTGTAGTCTCTTTGGGATCCAAAAGGATATATAGGAGGGAATTTTGGCACAGCTGGCCTTGCATTTGCCATACTTTCTAAATTGGTCATATGATCAAAAAACAGAATGTTCTGTGGCCTGGGGAATGTTTTTATTGTGATCATTCTTTGATCTTCAGCAAGCTATTTAACATTTAAATACATGACATATGAGTAAAATATGAATTAAGACCACCCAGAAACATTTTTATAATTTCCCCCATTATTCAAGTATTCACAAGATAATTTTGTATATAAATACCATAAATAATCTAATAAATATAACTCAGACTTCAAATATGTATAATTAATTGTATCCTACTCCAATAACAATGACTAATAAGACCAAACCTCCTCAGCCACAATCCCAGAACTGTGGGAAATTGGAACAGATAATCAAAACTGCCCTGGGTCACCAGTTCTGGGTATACTCATTAAGTTTAAAATATTATGTTCAAACCTCAGACTGGCTGTATTATGCCAGTAGGGACACATTCGAATATCCAAGTCCTAAAACAACCTATAGCCTTATAAGAAACAGGTTGTTGTGCAGATCTGAGACATGTTTCATTCAGGGAAAGGCCATTTTTCTCTCTCAAACAATAGTTTGCTGAACAGAAGTTCTTCTAGAACATTCTTTCCTGTAGTTTACAAATGTTTACCACAGCCCCCTGCTTAACCAGGAAATGGGTCATGCCAGGCTGTGGACTGAATAAATAGGAAAGCCAAGATCCTTGCCCTCCTAGATTATAGACTAATGGCAACTTGTTTAGCCTGAATGCCTGAAGCTCAATATCTCCCAGGTACTGCCTCTTTTCTAGTAACTGTCACTAGTGCCTAAGATTCTTCCAGAAACTAAGCATCTATAAGTAGAGGCAAATTCTGTGGTTTTGGGAAAGAGAAAACTAAAAGCAGTTTTCTCTTGAGAAAACAGTAAGTGAAGGAAGAACTTGTTTATGTCTTTCCATCATTAATTTATGATTAGAGCAAATATTGCACTCACACTCAGCCCTGTAACTAATAATGAAAGATGAGTATGTGTGAATGATGACATTCTGTTCCCTATAGGGCTGGATCCAGCTGAACCTTGCTTTCAGGGTACCCCTGAACTAGTCCGATTAGATCCCAGTGATGCCCAATTTGTGGACGTAATTCACACAGATGGTGCCCCAATAATCCCCAACTTAGGTGAGTGCCACAAGTTGTCCTCTTGGAGGGTTCTGAGTCTACATGGTAGTGTTTTAGAGTCTCTTGAGGCTATGCCGTCAGATGAACCTATTGTTATTTTATAAATTCTCCAGGATTTGGAATGAGCCAAACTGTGGGTCACCTGGATTTCTTTCCAAATGGAGGAAAGGAAATGCCGGGATGTCAGAAGAATATTCTCTCTCAGATTGTTGACATAGATGGAATCTGGGAAGGTAAAACTCATGTGTACAAAGAGATTTTCATTGAAAATCTGTATTTTGTTTGCTAGACTTGCTAAATATTTTGGAATTGTACAGGTCTCACATTGTGTATAACAAAGAACTTCTAATTACATCTCTGAGACATAGGTTCCCATTGAGACAAGTGGTCATGAGAAAACTGGGAAATAGATCGCATTTGCAGTTAACTTTCCAAGGACCTAATTGAAGGAATTAAGTTGTACTTTAATTTGTGTGGACCAAACCTTTCCTTCTTAAGTCATTTTTCCTTTTCATTCAACAAATGGCATTATCTATTATAAATGTAAATAGTACTTAATTTATGATTACATCACAAATCATAAATACACTTCATAAGTGACTTTGTGCTATAACCTCCAGGAGTTCACACAAATTAGAGAAATCTATTTGATAACTGTATTCTCGGGCCAGAGTTTTAGCTCAGTGGCTCCAGCATCTGCCAGGCAAGCACAGGGTCCTGAGTTCAATCCCTGGTTCTGCAAAACAAAACAAAAAGAAAAACTGTATTCTGATCTGACAAGAACTTGAAAAAGTAAAATCTGTTGTTGGTGTGTAATCTTGTCTGATTTCACAGGAACTCGGGACTTTGCAGCCTGTAATCATTTACGAAGCTACAAATATTATACTGATAGCATCCTCAACCCTACTGGCTTTGCTGGATTCTCTTGTCCCTCTTATGATTCTTTCTCTTCAGTAAGTTGGACTGATTTTTTCATTTTAATTTTATGTATTTATTTTAAATTTAATTTATTTTTGTAGTGCTGGGGATCAAACAGTGCCTTGTACATGCTAGACACAGACTATACCACTGAACTCTACCGCCAGCCCAACCATTTGAATTTTATGACCGTCCACTCCTTATAACTGATGTAGTCTGCTATACTCATCATTCACTGAATGCTTATAGTTCCACACTTATTATACTTCATCACAGGCCTATATTTCAGTAGTAATTAGAAGACTTTAGTAGCATTAGAGGACTTTAGCGAAAAGGGCTTGTAAACAGAAGTGTCTCTTGTCTAACTTGTTCTCTATCACTTCTCTATGTATCAGGTAAATGTTCAAACTCATTTTGGAAATAATCCTAAATAGGCAAATAGAAAACTCATTCGTGGCAATCTGAGCTGTGTCTAAATGATGCTATCTTCTTTAAATTTTACTTTTTGAACTATAGAATAATAGACATTTGGGTATTTGTGTGCATTCTCATAGTCACCAATATTTCCTGGAGTTTTCATCTTGTCTGGTATTCTCTGGATATCCAGGTTGAATTCTTATTTCTGTATGATCTTTAACACAGCACATAAATTCTCTCTTGCCTTTTACAAATATTTAGTATTATTTTTCTTCAAATCCCAATTTGTACTGTATGCCATTCAATAAAGAAAAGTTCAAGTAAGCACTATGTTAGATGAAGTGATAATGATAGAGGAGATATACTTTAGTCATGAAGAGAGAGGACTTGAACCCTGGTTTCAACATTAAATAGCTGAATGAATTTGGCAAAGTAGTGCAGTTTTCTAAGATAGTTTCATCTATAAATATCAATAATAATGGTAGCCTCAAAGCACTTGGTCAGAGAACTTAACAAAATGACATGTTAATTGCTTGAGTGAAAATGCAATAATCTATTTTCAATACGTGCTAGCTATTATGGGAGGGAGGAGTGATATTTTATTCACATTATGGGTCAATTATTCATCAATAACTGAAACCTCCTCCTCCCTTTTTTATGTAATTTTATTTTTTTCTTCCTATAAAAAATAGCCAAAAAGCTTTAGGCTCATACAGTTAAACAGTTTGATTCAATAATATAAACAGTCCCTTTAGGTAATTCTCAGCACCTTTATAAGAAAAAATTTGCAAATTTCTCCTTCTTTGGACCCTTTCCTAAGCTCTCCAAACTAGCATTGGGCCAGGTAGTCCTGCTGGTAGTCTGGTCATTATGAATTCCCCATAGGGAGTGGCTTGGGGGTCTTTTGGTGTCTACCTTATTGCTGGGCATGCTTCAAGCATTTAGAAATGAAAGCTAGGGTTAGTCTAAGCTTCCGATTTGGGCAATACCCTTAGTGAGCTTTGGCCATTTTTTTGTGGCTAGCTCAGCCCTCAGCCTCCCTTTAGTTTAACAGATACCAAATCTGAGATGGGGATTTAGCTCATTGGCACCTTGCCTGCCTCACAAGCTCAAGTTTGATTTCCCATACCAAAAAACAAAACAAAACAAACAAACAAATCCAAGACTCTGCTGCCATGTCTATCATCTAGTTCATTGATTCAGGATTCCACCATATGTCTTTACTATGGAGTAGGCTTCTCCTCCAGAGTGGGATAATTGTCCTTCAACTCTGTACTTCCCTCTTCACCCCTTTTAAGTCAATCCCTTGGTTTAGGAAGAGAGAATATATTCTAGGCCTCAATGGCCAGCTAGAGTAATTTCTCCATATTGGGAGAAGAATGAGAAAATTGAATTTTTTCATCCTTTTTATGTTAAGTGGGAGCTAAAAAAAATGAAGAAAAGTGTGACTTTTGAGCCCATTGTTCTCCTAATGGATCCTATTTTGCATATCAGAAGCTAATTATTCTTTCTTAAGAAATCTTTCTAAAATAAATTCTAACCAGCAACAGGAAGATCTTGAACAATTGGGGCAATTTAAAGAGGCAAGGGGCGGGGGTAAGTGCCATGTCATGTATGATTTTAATAGGGTTGTGCTTTCTAAAAGTGAAACTGTTCGTTTATCCTCCTGAATAATGAGATACTTTGCTAACTGTTTCCTTTTCAAAGTTCCTTTTTACATCAGGACACATTTGGTGTTAGAATATTTGCATTGGAACCTCACTTAGAAAGTGTACACTATTTATTTTCACTAGAACCAGTGCTTCCCCTGTGCAAATGGAGGATGTCCCCAGATGGGTCACTATGCTGATGAATTTTCTGGGAAAACAAAAGGAATGTTCCAAAAATTTTACCTGAACACTGGTGATAAGAGTAACTTTTCATGTAAGTTTCTGTTCTATGTACTTTACATTCTTAGTACTGTGTGTTTTATCATGTTCATTGACAATGTGTGAAATTGCTTTTCCATGCAAAATTGTATAATCTCTGCCAATGGCACGCTCAATGTAATGTCCTAAATGGAATAACAGAATGGAGTCTGAGTCTTGAACTGTTAATGAGACAAAAAGAAATTTCTTACCAGTTGACTCTGGTGCTGATACAGAAGGATTTTTATGGAGTTGGAAGTTTTACTGATCTTATGCACAAGCAGAAAAGTAATCCCAGAGAGAGATGACAGAGGTGGTTGTGTCATGGCACTGGGTATGAGAGATTCCAGAGACTGAAATATGGAACATCACCTACTCTTTTCATAGCAGGTGTACTGACTCCTGCTGTGGAAAAAAATTTTTAGGACATGACAAAAAAAAAAAAAAAAAGCCAGGAGAAGGATTTATTAAACAGAGATTTAGGATGCCCTCAAGAACAGTGTATGGACACTCAGAGAAATGAGACCCATCACAGATTGGAATTTAAAATTTTTATACTTTTCTTCAGGGGGTAGAAAGCTTGGGAAAAGGTGCTCCCACCCCCAAAGGTATTAACCTATTGTACAGGCATGGGAAGTTTGTTTGTTTGTTTGTTTATAGGCAATTTGAACATTCTCTAGATTCAGATTTACTCAGTTAGGGCAAGGTTCCCAGTTCCATACCATGGGTGATGGGAATTAGAGGATACTGAAATGGTACAGAGGCTAACAGAGGAAGAAAACTACATTGATGATTATGAAAACTGAAAACTGAGGACAAACTTTCATCCCATTCCCAATTTGTCCCTAGCTAGAGCTGAGTGGCAAAAAAATTGAGGTTTATTATTGACTAGTATCAAAAGAACTTATTTTTGTCTTCCTAAATTGGTGTATTTTCAAGGATGATGGAAATTTGAATTAGTGAATTTTTAAACAAATATTTATCTATTCAGACACAAAGAGAACAGTACTCTAAATTTTAGTGATCAATGAAAATAAAGCAAACTAATGAAAATGTCACACTCTAGTATCTTTCCAGTACCTTTGGAGAAAATGTTCTTAAACCATTGAGGAACAAATTGTTACATTGATAAATTTTAAGCAAAATATATTTCTTAGTCCCTTGGCTTAAATAATTTTTTGGTTAACTTTGGAAAGATTCTGCACATCCTCCACTCTTCAGTACCTATCCTCTGAACACTTAGATAAAGGAATCACTATGACTATTTCCTGAATAAAAAAGCAGCATCGTGTATGAAGTTTCCAAAATTCTGCAGTAATAAGATGGAAATTAACCAGTTTTCAGTGTGTCTTCTCTACAAGTTAAAATTTTGCCAATTTTTTGTCCTGTGCAGATTGGAGGTATCAGGTAGCTGTCACATTGTCAGGAGAGAAGGTTAGAGGACATGTCCTGGTTTCTTTGTATGGAAATTGGGGAAACTCTAAACAGTATGAAATTTACAAGTGAGTAAAATGTTTGTTGAGCTTCTTAAATGTTTGAACACTACTCATGCATATTATTAGAAGTTTGATTATTCTTTGTCAGATGAGAATTGAATACTGTCACATCTAATAAAAAAGAAAGACATCCTTTCACATGTTCACTTTAATGCATTTCAGAATTCTAGTTCTAGATTTTTTTCTTTATATTTTTGAGAAAATCATTAATACTTACTTTGATGCCCGGCATCTGGTTTATAATAAAAAACAATTTTCTTCACAAAACAGTGGGTAAAATATGACATAATGATCATATATTAAATGGGAAAGATTATGACTCATTTTAGAAGTTTCACTAAAGTGAAGATGACTAAAGTTTTATGAATCATTGAGGTCAAGCAAAACAATACTGAATTAACATACATGTGAGAATTTATTTAATACCTCAGAATGATGAATTTACTATTAATCGTCTTAGCTAGAGATTTATTGAAAGCTGTTTTAGAAATATTTGTACATATATGCCTATGTATGTTTATATTTATAGATATTATTCTGTGTATATTCATGTACATTTTTATTAATTTCTTTACTCCCCAGCGGCTCTCTTAAACCAGGAAATAGTTATATTAATCAGATTGACTGTGATGTGGATGTTGGGGACTTAGAGAAGATTAAATTTATTTGGTACAACAATGTGATCAACCTAACCCGACCTAAAGTGGGAGCATCAAGGATCACGGTGACCAGAAATGACGGCAGAGAGTAAGTAATAAAAAGCCAAAGGAATGGGAAGGACTGAATAGTGTTTACAATCCTATTTCCACTGAAATTCTCCTTTAGATTACTTTCTACAGTGGTTCTCCTGTACCTGAGGCACAGCTGCTACCTAATATCTACTGTGTCTTTAGGAGAAAGTACAGAACTTTAATAGATCTGTAGGTAAGTGTTATGTTACCTGATACAAATTGTTAGAGTGAGAATCCAGCATCCTGATCCATTTAAAGGGCCAGATAAGCTTTTTGGTAGGTATATAATTAATGCATACATCATCTCCAAACTTCATGGTTTATCAAACTACTACTTAAATCATCAGGAGCTTATCTAAGCTATCAAGGAACAGAAATAGGCTACTCTGTGTCACAGGTCTTTTGGGAGAAGAGAAAGGTCCAGAAGATCTACCCTTTGTTCTAACCATTACTGGAGTCCAGGCCACTGGATGCCCACACACACACACAAAAAAAGTGGAATAATCATACAGTATTAGCTTAAGGGTATATGAGTGTTAAGGCAAATTCAAAAGCAGAGAGGACTGGTTCTTCTGTCATTGAATATACTTTACTCTCATAAAAATCCACTGAGGAGACTTTTGTTTCTGGCAAAGATGGAGCAAAGACATCACATTTACCTTCCCAAATGAACAATCAAAGATCCAGATAAATACATGAAACAAAAGTTTTCAGAGCATTGAACTTCCAGCAGTAAAAGACAGTGCTGCTTGAGAGACAGAAAACAAAGAGGAATCTTAAAATTATCCCACCTTACTACCTTGAGAGAGTTTCCAGGGTATGACACAGCCAAGAGGCAGGCATGTAGGCTGAAATCGACAGTCACTAAATTGAGGAGGCAGAGGTAAGAATTAGAGAACCTAAGGCCAATAGGTTTCATAGTACAGCCTTTGAGAGAGTACAGAATTGTGAATGGAGACTCCTAGAGTTCTGAAAGTCGCCCTTTAATAGTCAGCACAGGGCTGATCAACCATACATGTAAGCAAAGTAGCCATGGCCAGGGAAATAGCCACTTGGAAGGATTAGAGAACAATGCCCAGTGTCTGGCAGGGCTGAGAAAAATGTTTGTTTCCATCAACAAGACTGGAAAATCTTATAATTCAAGAGACACTGAGTAGAATATTTAAAAAGGGTTTGTTTCTCAGTGGGAATTATTAGTCTAGATTTAGCAAGACTTGGAATCATTAAATTATTTCCAAATAATTTAACTGTGTCCCTGAACAAAGCATAATAAGATTTATAGAGATACAAAATTATCCAGCAGCCAACAAGACAAAATCCACAATAAGTGATGTTAATCAAAGGTTCCAGCTGTAAAAATAGGAGGACAATATAACTTATCATGACAAAAGTAATCAATGAAGTAATACCTGACCAGAATTGACAGAGATGTTAGATGGGGACATTAAAGTAGTTAGTAGACATCTATTCCGTTAGTTCAAAAAAGCCGGTAGACGAATGGCACATGTTAAAAAACACCTCCTTAAAAAATAAAAATTAAAAAAGATCCACCAAAAAATTATGTAGATAAAAATTTTAATCTCAAGAATATAATTTACAGAAGATTACAATTGTGAAAGAAAAGACTACTGAATTGGAGATGTAATAGAGACTATCTAAATTGAAATAGAAATAAAAGAATTTTTTAAATGCAGAGAATATCAGTGGCCTATGGGAAAGTTCAAGAGTATCAATGTACTTGTTTTTAAAGGCATCAAAGGCAGAGTCATAGAAAAATATATTGCAAGAATAATGGCTCCACAATCATCAAACTCGGTAAAAACTATAAAGAAACAAATTAAATCATCATCATCATAATAATATCATGAAACATGAAGAAAGCAGAAACACACACAAGGATCAAATTACTCAAAATCATTTACAGGGCCAAGGATTTAGTTTGGTGGCACCATGCCTGCCTCACAAACACAAGGTCCTGAGTTTGATCCCCGGTATTGGGGCATTTATAAAGAAAAAAAAAAAAAACCTTAAAAGCAACAGTAGAAAAAGGTCACGTTACATACAGGAAAATAAAAATTTAGCAGATTTGTCAGATGCAATATAAACCAAAGGCAGTATAATAACATCTGTAAAGTATTGAAAGGAAAAAGTTCAACAGAGAACTTATGCCCACCAAAATATATTTGAAAAATAAAGGTGAAATTAAGACTTTTTGAACATACCAACATTGAAAGAATTTATCACCAGAAGGTCAGTACTACAAGAACTATTCATGGAAGGATTTGGGGCACAAGAAAGTGGTAGTACTTGGAAAGAATCTACAGAAAAGAATTAGGAGAATAGTAAATGTTAACCACATTGAAAATACGCAAGATTGTAAAATCTCCTTACATATTTCTCTCTTAAAATAACTGACTAGGAGATGGAAATGTAGGTCTATCACACATCTATTTGGCATACACAAAGCCCTGTGTTCAATTCCCAACACCAATTAAGAAAAAGCAACAACAACAAAATAATCTGAGTATTTAAAAATTATAGCAATATTTTGGGGGTGTATACAGTTTTATGTCTAGGTAAAGCATATGACAACATCATAAAGAGCAAGAGAAGAATAGTGGAAATATACTATTACAAGTTAGCTCTACCATATGTGAACTGGTTATATAACTTAGAGTTAGAATGTAACAAGATAAAAATATATGCTCTCAATTCTAAAGCAATCCCTACGACAATAAAACAATGAACTATGGCAAACAAGCTAAGGAAATTGAGAACAAAACAATTTAAAAGACAACATGAAAAGTAAAAGAAAACAAAGGACATAGGGAAAAATAGAAAACAAATAGAAAGGCAATAGTTATGCTGAACCTACCAATTATTATATTAAATAAAAATGGCCTAAACACTAAGATTGGAAGGTAGAAATTGTCATATTAGATTTTAAAAAGTCAATATCCAAATAACTGTGCCTACCTTAAGTGAACCTTAAATATAAAAATACAAGTAAATTTCATAAAGAGAAATGACAGAAAAAGACGCATTATTAGCCATAAGAAAAAGCCAATTAAAATAGTGATATACCATCATAAAACTACATAAATGGCTAAAATGTAAAAGATTGACAATATCCAGCAATGTTGAGGATAACAAGAATCTTAAATTCTCATATACTGAAATATAAAATGATAAAAAGACTTTGGAACACAATTTGACAATTTAAAATAGCCAAATACAGGCCCATGAATAGTTCAACCATGCTGCTCCTAGTTACAGTAGTTTTCTCTTCAAAGTTTTGCTTTCCGCAATTTCAATTTTCCACAGTGAACCATGGTCTGAAAGTGTTAAATGGAAAATGAGGGCCAGGATTTAGCTCAGTGGTTCTGCCACCTGCCTCACAAATGCAAGGTCCAAAGTTTGATCCCCAGTACCCCCCAAAAAAAACTCAGACTCTTCCCATTCTTTAGGGTGTGATCAGTGATTCCTCTCCAAGCTATTCGCACAGCTGTATTACAAGATTGGAGAGGAGATTCAATCTTCTCCATTAGAGGCCTCCTGTAGTCAGTGTCTGGCCTTGAGCACAGGTGTAACGTTTCTCAGGTTGCAGGAATGAGAGAAGAAAGCCGTAACTCTTGTCAGGCTAAACGCCAAAGCTTGCTTCCAGGAAGTGGTGACCTTTTGATGTTCTCCCTTCACAGATTCAACTTCTGCAGTCAAGAAACAGTGAGGGAGGACGTTCTGCTCACCCTCTACTCATGTTAGGACACTGGTGACATGTGGCCATTGAATCAGTACTAATAAAATGTGGAGGTGAAGCAATACATTATGTCTTTTCTCATCAATGTCCATTATTGCCAATGAAACTTTTGGATAGAGTGATTAAAATCCAAAATCTGCAACTGATCTGAAGAACCACAAATAATTGTGAAATTTTGCTAAAGCATGGCATTTGAGCTTGGGAATACAGCTTCCATGACACTGCCATCGTGTCCACTATAAATATAACCGATAGTCTGATCACTGAAGTCAGATTTCCAGGCCCAAAAGGTACCCTCTTTTGGTAGGCCCATGAGGAAAGTACCAAACTTTGCCACGGTTCACATCATCTTAAAGTTTTGTGCTGCTCCTAATCAGACAGGTCCAGAGTGATGCCACGAAAGGAAATGAGGATGAGATGCATCTGGTGCTTCTGAACTGCTCTCAGTAGGGTTTCCCCAAACCCCTTGACTCTCTGCAGTCTATTTGATCTTCTCAAAGCACATATCAAAGGGCCCCTTGTGATCCTGAGGGCAGAATCCACCACCCTATGTGAGTTTTTCTGGTCCCTCTTGGTCTGACTCTCACCTCAGACTCCAGGCTCACTTCTCAGCCTATTATTCCCTCTGGAACTTCGTATTCTAGACCTGTCTCCAAAGACAGCTTTAATCTCAGATGCTGCTGAGCATTTGGACAAACTTTTTTTCTAGAATGATTTTCCATGTTTTTCAATCTGTTTAACTTCTAATGGTTCTCATTTCTTTGTATAGACATTATCTTATCCAGGAAGCCTCTTCGCCACATTGTTTACAACTCCTATAAAGTCTCTCCTACACTCCCACTGCACCTAAAATTTACCCCTTCTCCACATTTATCGTGGCATGTTGTCATTGCAGGTTCACTTCTGTGTATAGCACATCTGTACATTTGTTAATTTCTAAGCATTCCAATAAGGGAAAGAATGAATGAATCCATTAGGGCCAGATATTTAAAATTGAGCTGTACCCCAAAAGTAATACCATAAAAAAGAACACTAAAGGCCTTACGTGATGGGAGAAGTTGCCAAGATGACATGGGAAGAGGGAATATCATAGATGAGGCAGAAGAATATGAAAAACTGAAAACACCTTTCATTCAGTGTTTCACCAAAATCACTTGTTAATCAAATATGAGGGCTTTCAGCCTTTCCTATGCATGAACCTCTTGCATGAATCAAAAGCTCCAATTTAAACTGGTCACCCTCACATTTGAAGGATGACC